GCGTCTCGCCCGAGACATCATCAAAATCTGCTCCGACAGCGGAGGATGCTGGATCTGTAAACAAGCAAACCGTTCGAACCAGCCCCGCAATCAGGGCACGAACGGAAGAGTGAAATACCCCCTGGCAGCCCCCCACTTGAGTGTGCCGAAACCAGCACCTCTCCCGAGACATCCCCAGACTCTGCTCTGAACGCATACGAGTCTGGCCACCAAAGCAGGCAAACTGACTGCTCGAGCCGTCCTCACAATCTGGACCCCCCCCCACCCCGGGGTGCGAAAACAAGCGCCTCGCCAAAGGCATCCTCAAAATCTGATCCGACAGCGAAGGATGCGGGGTCGGTGAACAAACACACCGCTCGAGCGGTCCTCGCAGTCTGGGCGCGAACGGAAGAGCGAACTACTCCCTGGCGGACACCCGTTTGGGGGTGCTGAAACCAGCGCCTCGCCCCAAGCATCCTCAAAATCTACTCCGTGATCATCAGCCTCAGTCTCAGTCTCCGTAGCAGCATCAGAATCCTCATCATCAGCATCATCAGCATCATCAGCATCAACATCATCATCAGCATCAGCAGCAGCAGCAGCAGCAGCATCATCAGCATCAACATCATCATCATCATCATCAGCAGCAGCAGCATCAGCATCATCGTCACCGTCATCATATCATCATTATCATCATCATCATAATCATCATCATCATCATCATCATCCTCATCATCCTCATCATCATCATCATCAGCATCAGCATCACCATCGTCATCGTCATCATCAGCATCATCAGCAGCATGCGCATCATCGGCATCAGCAGCAATATCAGCATTATCATCACCGCCACCACCACCACCACCATCCTGATCATAATCACCATCACCATCACCATCCCACTTAGCCTCATAACCATCACCATCATCAACAACATCAACATCATCACCATCATCAACACCGTTATCATCATCGTAATCATAGTCCTCCGCATCCGTATGTGCATCCCCATCCCCATCTTCATCCTCATCAGCAGCATCGTCATCATCAGAATCACCATCATCATCAGCATCAGCATCACCATCATCATCAGCATCATCATTATCACCATCAGCATCATTGTCATCGCCAGCATCACCGTAATCATCGTCACCAGCATCATCATAATCAGCTCCAGCGGCAGCACTGTCATCATCATCGTCATCATCAGCAGAATCAGCATCATCATCAGCATCATCATCTTCATCATCACCATCATCATCGCCTTCCTCATCATCAGCATCATCATAACCCAAGTAGTGACCATGAGTGTGACGCTGTGCATGAGCAACTCTGAGTAGCATCATCATCATTATCGTCATCGTTGCTGTCATCATCGTCATCATCATCCTCAACAACCACATCACCATCAACAGCTGCATCATCCTCATCATCACCATCGCAATCGTCATTGACACCATCATCAGCATCATCAGCATCACCATCATGATCATCCGCATCCGCATCCTCAGCCTCATCCTCATCCTTATCAGCATCATCAGCATCATAATTGTCAGCATCGTCGTCGACATTGTTGTCATCGCCATCGTCAACACCATCATCGTGCGCATCATCATCAGAAACATCATCAGCATCATAATAATAAGCATCAGCATCATCGCCATCATCATCAACGGCATCATCAGCATCATCAGCATCGTCATCTGCATCATCATCACCGTCATCATCAGCAGCATCATGATCATCGGCATCATCAGCATCATAGTCAGAATCAGCATCAGCATCATCATCAGCAGCAGCATCAGCAGCATTATCATCAGCATTCGCATCCGCATCCTCATTATCATCCTCACAAGCATCATCAGCAGCGTAATCATCATCACCATCATCATAATCATCATCAGCAGCTTCCTCATCATCATCAACATCACCATCACAATCACCATCATCATCATCATCATCATCATCATCATCATCATCATCATCAACAACATCATCAGCATCATCATCATCAGCAGCATCATCATCGTCGAGCGTGTGAGTCTGAGTGAGGAAAGGAGAAGGAGAGGCAGGTGTTGAAGCGGACCCGGCGCGGTCGAAGTAGTGAGCCCTGACTCTCGCGCTCAGGATTAATCCTCGCGCCTGGCCTGAGAGTCCGAGGGAACCCTGGCGCTCTGGGTCTCGGGAGGTCTCCCCGGGAGGCCAGCGGAGGCCAGCGGAGGCCCCCGTGGGGTCCCTCTCCCCGGGCCCCCGCGGAGGGCTCCGCACGGAGGAGCCCGCTCCCGAGAGCGCCGCCGCCCGGGCGACGGCGACGGCCAAGGCCCCGCCGAGGGGCACGGCCACGGCCACGGCGACGGCGACGGCGCCCACGGCGGCGGTGGCCACGGCCACGGCCACGGCCACGGCCACGGCCAGCACGACGGCGACGGCGACGGCAACGGCGGCGGTAGCACCCACTGCGGTTACTCGGCGGCGGCGACGGCGAACGCTTCCACTCACGAGCGGGGGGGGAGGTCCGCGCCTGAGTGCGCCGCCGCAGAGCACGGCGAGGCGCAGCTCCCGCTCGCCGGGGTCGTCGGCCACCAGCAGCGGCCGCACCTCGTCATCGATTGCGTCGTCGTCGATTACGTCGTCGTCGATTTCGTCGTCGATTTCGTCGTCGATTTCGTCGTCGATTTCGTCATCGATTTCGTCGTCGATTTCGTCGTCGATTTCGTCGTCGATTTCGTCGTCGATTTCGTCGTCATCGTCCTTCTCCTCCGTCTTCTCGTGGGCGCCGCAAGGCACGGCCCCAGGTTCCGGGCCCTGTCATGTTTCCGCACCCAGCGTCGTTGCTCGGTGTCGCGCCCCAGGACCATCACATATCGATCTGGCTCACAAAATGCCGCAGAAAGATGGGGTCCACTGCTCTTGTCGTGATGTTTCGTGATGTCCCATTTGTTTCGCAACTTCGGATCTCGGGGGGTTGTGTCAAGCCGTCCCGCTACAGCCGATGAGACACAAGCATTGTGAAATGTGGAAGAACGTCGATACACAAACCGATTGTCACCAACTCCGCTGCAAGAACCCACACTGTACTTCTATGGTGCACCCAGGCCATGGCTACAGCCTGAATAGTGGCACCCGAGCTCGAACCCAACGAGCTTCCAGAACCGATGTCGACGCAGAACTAGGTGTCCCGCGCCGATCTCCATCGCAATGGATATCGAAATCCGTCTCTCAGTGCGACAACCCGCGTGGAGCTCGGTGGACTTGCTGCCAATATCGCAAGGCGCTGCCAATATCGCAAGGCATCCATAGTTACATTCAATGAAGAATCGGCGCGATGGTTATGCTCGCGTTCCTTCCACATGGTGGGGTCCGTGTAGGTGGGGTGCGGCCAGAAGTCTGGACGAAAGCATCATCGCCCCTGCTCCAGAGGGGGGACGGGGGGGGGAGGGGAGATGTTTCGGCTCTCTGGGTTCCTGCGGGGAGGGGGGACGGTTTGGGCCGGGGACGGCTTGGGGGGGAAGGCGGGCCAGTTTCGCGGCGGCCCCAAGGATTTAGTTTCGGAGGGAAGTCTTGTTCCAGGACCCCCCTTACGCTACATGTTTCACACAGGTGGTCGTGAGAGTTGCTCTCTCAGAGAAAAAAGAGGAGGAAAGAGGAGGGGGAAACAAAGAGGAGAAGGAAGGAGGATGAGGATGAGGACGACGACGACGACGACGACGACGACGACGACGACGACGCCGACGACGACGACGACGACGACGACGACGACGACGACGACGGCGACGACGACGACGACGAGGAATAGGAGCAGGAGGGGAAGAGGGAGAGAGAGAGGAGGAGAAAGGAGGAAGAGGAAGAGGAAGAGGAGGACGAGGACGAGGACAAGGACGACGACGACGACGACGACGAAGACGACGGCTGTGGCCCGAGGCGCGGGCCAGCCGCTCCAGGCAACCCCGCGCGTCCGCCGCCGCGAGGCACCCTTGGAGGAGGGGGGGAGGAGGGGCAGGAGGAGGGAGGAGGAGGAGGAGGGAGGGAGGGAGGAAGGGAGGGAGGGAGGAGGAGGAGGGAGGAGGAGGAGGAGGAGGAGGGGGAGGAGGAGGGAGGGAGGAGGAGGAATAATAATACATTCGTGTGTGAAGGAGTGTATGGCAGAGGCCCTGTGCGCACGACTGCGTTTGGCAGTGCGAGGGCTCACCTCTGGCGTCGTTTCTGGACTCTGCTAGATGACTTCGGTGGTCTTGGCGAGTGCGGCTTGGTGGTGCGAAAGATAAAAGCGCATCTGCCCGCCGAGGCGGTCGCCTTGGGACGGGTGTCCAGCAGTGACAGATTCGGCAACGGTCAGGCCGACGTCTGGGCCAAGCGTGCTGCGGCCAGGAGTCCCGAGTGATGTTAGGTTGCTCAGGTCCAAGTCTCATGCGCTAATAGAGCGTGTGGCGCACTGGGTCGGCACTGTCGGGGCCACGATGGATAGTCGTGACTGCGTTGCGGCTCGTCACTCTGCGAGACCGATTCGGCCGCGTGCGTCTGGCCCGATTCGGCCCGTGCGAACGACTAACGAGCACGATTGGTACGGTCCCGACGGCAACCGCTGGTGCCGCCTGTGCCGTGTGATGCAGCCTGCGCAAAGCGAATGTGCAGGAGCCATTGTTGTGCGTGCCGGTGAGTCCTCTAGGGCTCTCGAGGCGCGTGGTGAAGTGCCGCATAAATTGGTGGCCTTAGATACTGTGCCACGCCTGTGGCACCCGATGAACCCCGCAGTGGCGTGTATGAGGTGTGGGGCGTATTCATCGAAGCAGTTGAAGTTTCTCTTCTTCCCTTGCAGAAAGCCTGGGGAGAATGGGGTCAAGGCCCTCAAGAGACTCAGCGCTGGCTTCCTCTCTGAGGGAAGAGGCAAAGTCTCGACTGTCAGTACAAACTGTTAGCCTAAAACCTAAATGTGGAGCGGCGGTCAGACGAGCGCCCCGATGAATCGGGAAGAGGAGGGGGAGGAGGAGGAGGAGGAGGAGGAGGAGGAGGAGGAGGAGGAGGAGAAGGGAGGAGGAGGAGGAGGAGGAGGAGGAGAGGGAGGAGGAGGAGGAGGAGGAGGAGGAGGAGGAGGAGGGGGAGGAGGAGGATACGGACCAGTGTAAACCCAAGATGCAACATCGAGGCTGCAAGAAACCCTCCCTCCAAGTTTCATCTTCACAGGAGCCCAGAACTAAATTGAGTTGCGGGGAAGTGGGCCCATTAGAAGATAATATTCTGAGAATCCGCACATCATGACATAACGCAGTTCCTGCGACTCCAGCACCGCGGATAATCGTGTCAGAACACCCTTTCTGGGACTTCAATACCGCGAATCAGTGTGACTGTTGCGACCTGACAATCCGAAATCGTGCCAGGCAGCAGCTCCAAGGACTTCGACATCGCGAGTCCTTTTTAACTGTTGCAAGCGTTTGAGACGAATGTGCACGGCGCTAAGGCGAGAGACACATTTGAAAAAGAGCTGTCCTCCATCCGTGAAGCTGCTCCAAACTTTTAATCACGACTGTGCGTGGCGCTGAAGCGAGAACCGCATTTTGAAAACCACCCGCCCCCTATCAGTGGAACTGCTGCAAACTGTTAGAGCGAATATGCACGACGCTAAAGCGAGATACACATGTTCAAGAACCAAAACGCCCTCTATCAGTGAGTGAAACTGCTGCGAACTGTTCAGGCGAATGCACGCGACGCTAAAGCGAGAGCCACAGTTTGAAAACCACCCGCCCTCTGTCAGTGAAACTACTGCAAACTTGTGAGCCAAATTTGCGCGGCGCTACTGCGAGAAAGGCGCCGCCCTCCATCCAGGAAGCTGTTGCAAGTTTCAAGCTCCAGGGCCATGCATTGCGAGGAGGTCTCGAACGAAACGCCCAGCCCGCCCTACCAACATGTCTGGAAATGCGACAGGGAGGAGTTATTTACAAGGAGGAGGGATGGAGGTGAGAGGAGGACGAGGACGAGGGAGGAGGAGAGAAAAGAAGGAAGAGGTAGGAGGATGAGGAGGTAAGAGGAGGTAAGAGGAGGATGAGGACGAGGGATGGGGACAGAGGATAAGCAAGAGGGAAGAGGAAAAACGAGCAGCGGAAGGAGCAGCAGGAGGAGCGTCGAATATCTTAGTACTCTGAATAGCTGTTCCCTGTGTTGAAATCATGTGGGCGTCTTCTGTGGAGGAAGAGGCCACGAGGAGGAAGAGGAGGAGCAGGAGGAGGAAGAGGAAGAGAAAAAAGATGTTCAAGGGTCGAAAGTGAAGCTGTGAGTAGCGAGGCTGTCGCTTGTCATCATATAGTTTGTGGCGCCGGGAAGCTCCTCGTCGCCATGGCTGGACCCGTCGGAAAACTGCAGCCGGAACGCGCTCGAGGACAGGTCAGGACGGGATTTCGAGGGGAGGGCAGACGTGGAGGAGGGAGACGGGGGATGGTGCGGATGGGAAGGGCAGCGCCAAGAGGCAAGGGTGTTCCGACACTTTGCAGCCTCTGGGGGACTCGGGGCCTGGGTCCGTCGGGGGTCGACCACGGCATGGAGACCTGACATTGTGAGCCCCATCAAAAGGTCTGGGGACCGACTTAGGTCAGGTCTCGGGGTCCAGCGGGGAGACAGGGACGGGGAAGGGGGGAGAGGGGAGGGGAAGGGAGGAGCGAGGGGAAGGAGGAGAAGGGGGGAGGGAGGAGGGAGAGAAGGAAGGGGAAGAGGAGGAGGAGACGAGGAAGAGGAATCTAGAATGAGGAGAAGGACGACGATGAGGGAGGAGGGAAGAGGACGACGAGGAGGGAGGAGGTTTCTGGCATCGCCTCCCTCGGGCTGGATGCGGGCCGTGTGGCCATTAGCAAAGACAGCTCAGGACAAAAAAACGGCCCCTGGGAAGGGGATGAGACCTCTCCAGGGACCCTGTACTGCACAAACACACACACACACACACACACGCACACACACACAGCGTCGGAAGTCTGGGTCACCGTCGTCGTCCTCTTCCTCTTCCTCCTCCTCCTCCTCCTCCTCCTCATCCTCACCCTCATCCTCCTCCTTCACCTCTTCCTTCCCCTGCCTCCACCTTTCCCACCTCCTCCAGTCTCCCTCCTCCTCATGATCCCCCTTCTCCTTCTCAGTATCCTTCTCCTCCTCCTTCTCCTCCTTCTCCTCCCTTCCCTCCCCTCCCCTCTCGCCCGCAGGACCCCGAAGGATCGATGCGGAGGGAGGAAAAGGAGGTGGAGGAGGTGAGAGAATGTGGGAGAAGAGGACGAGGAGAAGGAGGAGGAGGAGGAGGAGGAGAAGGAGAAGGTGGGAGGCTGAAGGTTGGAGGAGGAGGAGAAGGACAGGAGGAGGAGGAGGAGGAGAAGAGGGAAGAGAAGAAGGAGGAGGAGGAGGAGGACCGAGGCGGAGGGAGGAAGATGAGGAGGCCTGGCTGCAGCGCCAGCAGCAGCGCCCCCTCGCCCGCAGGCGCCCCCTCTGCTACCAGGTCGGCCAAAGCCGCCACGGCTGCCCGGAGGGGCGGGGCCGCTGCAACCTGGAGCC